TTGGACTGTGGGGGAAACCGGAGCACCCAGAGGAAACCCACACGAACGCAGGGAGAACATGCAAACTCCACACAGAAATGCTAACTGACCGAGCCGAGGTTTGAACCAGCGACCTTCATGCTGTGAGGCGACAGCACTACCTACTGTGCCACTGCCACCGCATCGCCTTAAATGCAACATATAGTTTGTAATATTGCAAAAATTGTCACTTAAGCATATATATTTAGAAATATTTTCCCATTTTTTATGACTGAATGTTCAAATATAGTTTATATATAGGGCCCTATATGCACACACATAAGTTAAATCTCATTACTTTTAACATACATTGACATATTTGTATTTCCAATGGTTCCAATATAGAGAGAGTTTAGGTTCCCCAACAGTTATGAAAGGTAAGCCCAGCCAATTTTTAAGAAATTAATTAAACATTGGAAATGAAAATGAAAACCAGATAAACAATTTCATTATAAAACACTGTTTGTAAAATATCTGCAAAAATTGAAACAAATTTTTTTTTTCATTTTCACTGTGAAAACACATCCACCCTGTCATATCGATAAATAAGCTGAAGTTACCGATTTAACATTTTAATTTTACTGCATTTCTGGGTCAAGACTGCCAATATTAAAAAGAAAAGCCAAACTGAAAAATAAAATACAAACATAATTTTTAAAAAGCTTTAAGCAAATTTTCATTAATCATTATTTTTCAATAATCATTACTGTTCAGGTGAAGAGATATACTTGATTATAAATAAATACAAATAATTAGACTAAAACTTTAAATCTAATGGTGGCCAAAGACTTTTGCGTAGTACTATATGTTGAATATATGACATTTTTTAAATATGTAAAATCCAAATATGAACTTGTATGTAATATAAGTAAATTGCATATATTGCCATATCAGATTTCTATGTGGGCGTCCATGGTAGATAACGAAGGCTAAGAGATACCTGTAAAGACGGAGATGAAGAAATGCCAAAAAATGAGTGGCTATGTGAAATTCAGAATTCAGAACTAAACAAAAAAGAGATTTGGAAAACACAAGCAAATCTGCAGACCTGCCTTCAATGGCATACACTGCCAGATTTTCTTGCTTTAAGGCTGCTGGCAGATGGATATGTTTGTGAGCATGGAGAACAGAACATAGGGTGGAGAAACGTTCGGATTGTGTCCAAGTCTACAAAGACCATGCATCGTGACGTGTTTCAAAAATATCTCAAGAATTATGTATCTAGAGAGCTTGGTTATTACGCACCGAAGAGAATACGAACAAGGATTAACAACGTCACCTTTGCAGATTTCATGTTGGTGTTGATAGCCTGGAACGATTCTGCGTATTTGGGTTATCTTGACAGCTTTTGGCTTACCTTTATTCAATGTGCAAACCGCAATCTGAACCGCATCTCAGCTGTCTAAGCGACTAACCAGCATTTATCCACAAGAATAACAGAATGTGTCATTGCTCCCTCAGAGAGATCCAGAGGTGAAATATGAAACGTCCAGCAAACGAACCATCCAGCTAATCTGCCGTTTCGCTGACGTGCGAGAAGTGATAGGTGGAGCAATTATATCCAGCTGAGGCTCATGGCAGGTGAAATTAGGGCTAGATGAGGGAGGTTTTAGGATGTTAAGGAGAAGCGTGAAAACTTATCAGGGTGGAATCTGAACACACAGATGACAGATAGCCCCGAGGTTATGATTACAGTATATCATAGCGGATATGGAGATAATGGTGCCTCTCAGTGTGTTAGACGTGTGAGAGATTATAGGCAGAGGGCCATAGGGGAGAGATGATAAACTTTTTGATTTATTATTACACTTCACAGTTATGCACATAGTCAATTTCACAGAAACGCGCATACAAGCCATTTATTTTGTTTTTAAATATCCTCTCTTGGGTTGGTGGAAGCACCCGCTCAATCACTTGCAATTAGTGCTGGAAGACTTATGCCGAGTTCAGACTGCATGCCGCGATTTTTAATTGCCTGAAATCACAGGCAAATCGGTACTCATTCAGATGAGTTACAATCACAAAGTATGAACTACCGAAGATGCAATCAGAGAGAATTGCAGATGAATCGACACCTGTTCAGGGCTCAACAATAAGGACTGCCCTATGGCCCGGGGCCAGTGTGAGAGACGCTTGGGACAGTAGACAGGATTATTACTGGCCCGAATGGGACAGTGCCGCCTTGTCACTATAAAGTTTGATTTGCCTATGACTATGCCAATTGTGTGCATTTTAAGCTTGTGCTTTTTAGTCTTAAAATGCTTAAAACACCATATTGCTTTTCGGATCCTCTCATCTGATTTGATGTTTTAAACATGATGTTTCTGTAACCTGATAACAACCAGTACAATGAAGTAACGACAACATGGCCGCAACATCAAATAATGAGGCTAAAGTATCTGTTTTGTTACGTCTTGAAAGCAGAGATTTACATGAGAACACAAGAAAAAAATTAAGCAATTATTTATTTATTTATTTATTTATTTGTTTGTTTGTTTGTTTGTTTGTTTGTTTGTTTGTTTATTTATTTATTTATTTATTTGTACAATATGCCAGTCAGCCACCTTTTGTTAAATAATTTCGAACTGCAATAAAATACCTCCACATTTTCCATAATGCACTTTTTGTTTGCATACGTAGCACTGAATTTTGCTCATGCATTTATTAACATTTTTTTATATTGAAATTCTAGATTCACAGATGTTATTTTTGACACATTATTTAAAATATGTAGCTAAAATTAAATGAAAATTTTGGCAGGGCAAGTAAAAATCTGAACCATTGCCCTGATTGGACCAGTAGAAAAAATACTTAGCATTGAACCCTGCCATCATATATTTGGCATGCTAAATATCTTCGAATATCGATTTAAATCATTCCGTATGAAATGTGTTCTGATTGAAAATAACATTGGCGACCACCTACAGCCAATGAGAGAGCAGCATCCACTAGTATGGGTATCTGTGTAACCCCAATAGTTTTACACCAACCAACCCGATTTGAGCTGGGATCGAACAAGCAACTTTCCACAAGGGAGTCGGTTGCTCTACCAAGGAGGCCAAAGGAGGCATCTGTATACATTTATCTACACACAGCTATAGTTTATAGGTTCAAAATGCATAGCATTTTGTCAATGTGTCAGATTATATTGTTTTGAGTTCTTCATTTTTGTTTTGTTGTAAACAAAAAGCATGTCATACTACAGTACATGTTGCTTCCTGACTCATCATCACTTACTATCCTAAACAATGTGTGTGTTTATAATAATCTTGAGGAACATCGTTGAGAGGATAGAGGGAGTATTATTGTTGCTATTGCTTCACGATCATTCCTGTACTAGGTGTATAATTCCACCTAGTAACACCAGTACCAGTCCATCTGTCATTTGTAATGCCATGTTTGACAGCTGTGTATAGAAAAGCTGTGTACAGATGTCAAGGGGTCACAGAACCTGTCATGGAGGGCTGAATGTAAAAAAAAAATCATTAATGTGCTGGTCTTTCTGTTTGGAAATTGTGAAGCATTCCAGATGTGGTGTTGGACTGGTTGTTGTAGACTATGACACACTATCCAATCTTTGCACCCTAATATGCCTATTTATGTTAAAAATCAGAATAACACTCTATGTGTACAGATTGTGCCAACATTTGGTTGAAAGCGTATATATAGTCTGACCCCAGCAATAAGAACTGCATGAAAATGTACATTTCCATTATTTAAGTACAATACTTATACAGCATTTATTAATCCTTTTTCAACATTTACTAATGCAATATTAACTCCAAGTTGTGCTTGTTACCATTAGTTAATTTACTGTGAGTTAACAAGAACTAACAAATAACAACCTTTTTCCATTAGCTAAGGTTCACAAAGATGTATTGTTCGTTGTATGCTCATGTTAGTTGATACATGAACTTCAGATTGGAATCTCTTCTGGCTGCAGTTTTTGGACCTAATCTGATCACTGTCTAGGATTAACCATTATATGGTTTGCTTCAAAAAATGATAACCTTTTCTTAACCTCAAAGTGGTACCTGATCTAAATTATTTTGTTTGTCTAAACCTGTGTTTATACAATAGGTTCGTTCAGTGATGTTAAATATTGTTCCTGTCTTGATTAAAACCAGTTAATTCAGACCATACCATTGTAAGTTCACTTTTTCAATTTAGAAAAAGCACATGTAATAAGGATAATTTACATAATAAGGACATAATAAGGATATTTATGTTTTATTTTTAGCAAATTAGGGGTGAAATTTAGGGGAAATATATATAAAATCAATATATATATATATATATATATATATATATATATAAAGATAAAAGAGTTCATGTCCTCACATAAAATATGATCACACATCTGATATTAGCCCAACTATGTTCTCTTAATACATAAATGACTGTGGTAACTGACATTTTGACATACATATATATGCATGTGTCTATTCAAGGTGTGACACGGTGGCTCAGTAGTTAGCACTGTTGCCTCACACCGAGAAGATCACTGGTTCAAGTCCTGGCTGAGTCAGTTGGCATTTCTGTGTGGAGTTTGCATGTTATCCCCATGTTCATGTGGGTTTCCTCTGGGTACTTCAGTTTCCCCCAAAGTCCAAAGACATGCGCTATAGGTGAATTGAATAAACTAAATTGGCTGTAGTGTATGTGTGTGAACAAGTGTGTAGGGATGTTTCCCTGTACTGGGTTGCAGCTGGAAGAGCATCTGCTGCATAAACTTATGCTGGAATAGTTGGCGGTTTACCTGATGAATAAAGGGACTAAGCCGAAGGAAAATGAATAAATTAATGAATAAATGTCTATTCAAGCACGCAAAATGTGTTATTTTCATAGTTTTGCCACTCCAAAAATTGATTCATATTATTTACACACATTCTTGTCATCTGTAAAAAAATGACCTACAACCTTACAAAAAAAAATATATATATTAGCACTTAATTTGTGTGATTCTCATTTGTCTTCTGCAGATCTGATACATTCTCGAAGTGTAGTACCATTTACGGGTTCCAGCGAAGGGCAGCATTTTCAGACAGTGTTATTGGATGAGGAGAGAAGCCGATTACTGCTGGGAGCCAAAGACCACGTCTACCTACTGGACCCAGACAACATCAATAAACACCCCAAAAAGGTAAACACACACACACCTTAAAGGGCTCACACCTGCAGACATGTAGAATCGGATCTCTGTGTAAAGGACTTAACACTATGTGTGGTCCGAGACACAACCTAGCAGTTTTTTTCTTCCATAGAATAATTCAGAAAAACTTTTACTTACTTTCAGACTGGTTGTTTCATCTTGCAAAAGCAGCCATGTACAGTGTTTGCAATAGAGAATAACGGGCTTAAGTGTTGTCATGTTTAGGTGAAGCATGTTCTCTTGTCTCTTGATTCAAACAGTTACTTTGACATTAGTCATTGGTTTAAAACAGTTTAAACCAAGATGGATGGGTAGATAGATAGATAGATAGGTAGGTAGACAGACAGACAGACAGACAGACAGACAGACAGACAGACAGACAGACAGACAGACAGACAGACAGACAGACAGACAGACAGACAGACAGACAGACAGACAGACAGACAGACAGACAGACAGATAGATAGATAGATAGATAGATAGATAGATAGATAGATAGATAGATAGATAGATAGATAGATAGATAGATAGATAGATAGATAGATAGATAGATAGATAGATAGATAGATTTATTGATTTTTTTGAAAACTTTTTTTTGTATGATCCTATAATAAAGATTTAATGAAAAAAAAAAAGTTAACAACACACTCAGGATGTTTCTAAATAGTTCTTCTCTGGTTTCTTTGTTCTTGACTCTTGATTTTATGTTGAAATATGTGTCTATCTTTTGCCAAACAGGTGCATGTTTATTGTGGGAGTAAATTTATTATCTCTTTTTCGCTTTAAAGCACTTGACTTGTCAGCTGGTAGTACTCCTGCACTTGGACATCTTAATCTGGGTTGAAGTGCAAATCAAAACTGTTTATAGCTTTTTAATCTCACAAAAATACCTGATAGTGTGGTTTAAGAGCCTCTGGATATGTTTAGCCTGCGAATACATTTGTGGTGTTTGAGTGTGTTTCTATTTGTTAATCTGCCCTAAGAATCTGCCTTTTTTTCCATCTAATACTTTCAATCCAATCCAAGTGATTTGAATGATATTCCCTCAGTCTCACCTCAGAGTTACTGACCTGACCCTTCACTATCACATCTGTCAATCACAGCGATCCCATGACAACACTACATCATCATCACCTTCACACAAAACAACCCCCCCAAAAACAACTCTTCCATCATGTAAAGACATCCAAAGAATAAAAGCGTATATTTATGAAATATTCTTAAACTAACCTGTATTACTAATTTAAATACATATGTATTTACTTCTACACGATTTTTACACTTTCATTTTGATGCAGTTAAAAAATAGCCAATACTTTTAAAATACACTATATAATCTAATGTGTAATCAAATATATAATATAATATAATATAATATAATATAATATAATATAATATAATATAATATAATATAATATAATATAATATAATATAATATAATATAATATAATATAATATAATGACAAAAAAGTGTTGACAAATGGTGGAAAAGTACTGTATTTAAAAATGTTGTATGATCGCTAGGGCCACACGGGATCTGCACGCGCAGAATTCCGCAGATTTTTAGCTCATCAACTTTGACTTTTTACTTCAGTAAATATGTGTAAATTTATATTTATTCAGTTTTTTAATGAATTTTAGTAATATTATTGTCTAATATAAAAATGTTCATCTGATTTATGTACAATGCAGTTGTACATAATGTAATAATGTAATGTAAAGTAATATTTTCTGTCTTTTAGTAGATATATTATATGAGACTTGCTTTGTTTACCAAATAAAGTGAATCTATTTGGATCTGCATTTTAAACATTAAATAAAAGTTAAAAAGATATTATTTTTTATTTCATATATTAAGGTTTTCGTTATGATACTCCTAAAATAATTCTGCATAAATAATTCTATGTCCGCAGATGCTGTCTGGCCCCAATGATCGCTTATCTATCATTTTATCTATTAGAATAATTACCTTTTTAAATAAGTTCATTTAATTTAATATGTTTGTTGTCAGATTCAGAATAAATATGCTGTTTTGTTTGCATAAATATGTTACAGTAAATATTTATTAAACAGTACTTCACTCATATTTTCACATTTCATTGTTCAGATCCAAAAGTCTCATCTGAAATTTTCGAACCACTGTTATAAAATAACTTACCTAATTAACCTAGTTAAGTCTTTAAATGTCATTTTAAGCTGAATAGTAGTATATTAAAAAAAATATCTAGTAAAATATTCGGTACTGTCATCATGGCAAAGATTTTCATCAGGGGTCGCCACAGCAGAATGAACCACCAACTTATCCAGCATATGTTTTACACAGCAGATGCCCTTCTGCAACCCAGTACTGGGAAACACCCATACATTATTTAATTCACATACACTATGGCCAATTTAGTTTATTCAATCCATCTATAGCCACATGTCTTTGGACCGTGGGGGAAACCGAAGCACCCAGAGGACACCCACATGGGAAGAACATGTGAACTCCACACAGAAATGCCAACTGGTCCAGCCGAGACCCAAACCAACAACCTTCTTACTGTGAGGCAACAGTGCTAAACACTAAGCCACCGTGTCACCATATAGATTCAGAATAAATATCCATTCATTCATTCATTTTCTTTTCGGCTTAGTCCCTTTATTAATTCGAGGTTGCCACAGCGGAATGAACCGCCAACTTATCTAGCACATTTTTACGCAGCGGATGCCCTTCCAGCCACAACCAATCTTTGGGAAATCGTTATAAATATGTTACAGTAAATAATGATAATACAAATTTGACATTTTTCTATATATGAAGAGTTCAGATCTGAAATTTTTTTAAGTAAGCATTTTTCTCAGCCTCCTATATTTAGATTCGGTGAGTTCACTCTAAAAGCAATGAAAATAACTGATTAATCTCCATAAATTGTAAATTACTGAACCTAAAAACATGAGACTGCAGAAAAACTATAATTTTAGAAATTTGAGATAGCATTTAGATGCTTTTCCATCAGAACTTTACATATATACACACAAATATAAGTTTACGCAAGACATGCAAGTGTGTGTTGTAAACTCATCTGTTCATACTTTTTTTCCCCCCGATTTGTATAGGACACACTGAACGGTTTTAAGTTTGCGGTAGGTACGACAATCTTCAAAAGCGGCATCATGTAAAGTCGTCTCACGAGCGTGTGTAATCATGGATTTCATATTACATGTAGAGACGGCTCTTGGAGGTCAAGGTCAAAGGTCAACCCTGCGTATGCTAAGCGCTTAAGCCTTTTATAACACATGTTTGCAGAGACAGGACCAGCGGCCCCTTCATCACTCTTTATCTGAACATCGTCCTCCCTCTCATGTGTGTACAGTATTTCACGTGTACAGCTTTTCATCTCTTAAATACACAATGGATTACACTCTGTTTAAATTCCTGCTTTTGAGTCACGGCATGATCTCAGTCTAAATCGAAGTTTTGGTATGGTTTACATAGTCCGTTGGTTTAGCTTTCTGTTACAGTGTCAGGAGAGACGATTGTAAACACTTCTGCTGACTATAAAGTTATATAGAGGATAAAGGTTTTTGTTGCTCCTGCTTTTCATTGAATGTCTTGCTTTTGTGTGTTTTTTATTTGCAGTTGAGCTGGCCTGCTTCGAGAGACAGGGTGGAAATGTGTATACTGGCTGGTAAAAACCCTCTTGTAAGTATCAGTCAGATTATATGTCTGTTGAATGAACATTTCAATACACAGACACTCTCTAACTCAAAGCTGTCTTGTAAAAGAGAGCTGTAACATGTTTAACGTCAGCCTTTCAATACAGTTTTTCCCCCCTGAGATTTATCGAATCTATTTGAATTTTTTCTTTTTTTTAAAGAAAAATTTAATTCAAGCAGAAAGGCTTTAATGAGCTGAAGTTATATTAAATCTTAAACAATGTTACTAAAGTTTTTTTTTTTTTTTTTTTATCAATCTCTATTCTTTTTAACTTTCTGGTTATCAGAGAGGGTTTAAAAGTGTGTTACGATTTCCACAAAAATGAACCAACATAAGTGTTTTAAATATTCATTCATTCATTCATTCATTTTTTTTTTGGCTTAGGTTCTGATTTATTAAAGGTCACCACAGTGGAATGAACCACCAACTATTCCAGCATATGTTTTACGCAACACCCTTCCAGCTGCAAAGCAGTACTGGAAAACACCCATACACACTTATTCACACACACCCATACACTATAGCCAATTTAAATAATCCAATTCACCTATACCGCATGTCTTTGGACTGTGGAGAAAACCGGAACACTCAGGGGGAAACCCATGCCAAGACGGGGAGAACATGCAAACTCCACACAGAAATGCCAACTAGCCCAGCCGGGACTCGAACCAGCGACTGTCTTGCTGTGAGGCAACAGTGCTAACCAATGAGCCAGCGTGCCACCCCGTTTTAGATATTGATAATATGTAAAAGTTGATTGAGTTGATTTATTTCATCGTAAAGTATTTAGAAATAGAATAATGAAAAGTCAATTTAGCGCTTATTTTAGCTGTAATTATATTTATATATGCTGCCTTGGAGAAAATAGATTTTTTACAGAAAACTATTTATTTGCACTTTATATTTATTGGCAACATTTTCATTTTATACAAAAACCCAGGCTACACTTAAATATAAAAAAGTTATTGTATTAAACAGAAAAAAAAATTTTTTAAAGTTGCACAAATTCTATTTAAAAAACTATATTAGTCATTTTTTGACCTTTATCTTGAAAAAAAAATTAATTAATTTTGTTTTCATTTTAATTAATTAAAACATTAAAAGAAAATTTATTAAACATTTTTCATAAAAAAACACTTTAGCCCAGTGTAGTGATAGCCAGTGTAAACTTGTAGTTTTTTGTTAAATAAACTGCAAACAGGATGTAGTTTGCCTTGGGAGACCCTACCAGGGGCATTAGCCCCCAACAACATAGCTCTTAGGATCACTCAGGCACTCAAAGCCCTCCACCACGATAAGGTGGCAGTTCATGGAGGAGATTAAAATAAAAATAAAATAACAATTTACACTCAAAATATGATGGCTAGCATACTGCGTAATTAAAATATGCTACCTACTTTTTGAACTGGAGGTAGGACAATCTGACAAGGTAGGACAAATCAACAGAACATCGCCTCTGCTCATTTTGTTAATTTTAAATTTTTAGTTTTAATTACTTCGCCTCCAAGTAATTTTGGTCCTGATTTTATTGCTTTTGTCATTTTGCAAATGAGCTGCTATGTCTTTGATTCAAATTTGGCAAATATTTTGTTGCTATTTTGGTGTCTTATGCAATGACATTCATCTCTGTTTTAAAACTGACCTAAACAATGCTAAAATATTTTCTCCCTTTCTCTTGCTGCAGACTGAATGTGCAAATTTCATACGAGTTTTGCACAGCTATAACCGGACCCATGTTTACGCCTGTGGCACTGGAGCCTTCCATCCTACATGTGCCTTCTTAGAAATTAAAGGTCACAAAGAGGCAAGCAAATCAATTAATGACTGAGTTAAAGGATTACTTGTCTATTTCATTGACTAATATTCTTAAAAGACTTATTTTTTCCGTATGCAAGTTATGATGTGTGTTTTATGCACCATGCAGGACCGCTGGCTGCAGCTTCACAGCAACACTATGGAATCTGGCCGAATGAAATGTCCTTTTGATCCTAATCAGCCTTTTGCTTCAGTGCTCACAGGTGAGACCTGATTTAACAGCTCTTCCTTCTCTAACACAAACCTGCTGTAAAGGGCAATTGACTCTTTACACGGCTTTCCCTCAACAAAAAATCTGGTTCCTCTGTTCTGTCTGTCAGACATTTGCTTTTGGCTTCAAGTTAAACCAACCCTCATGTTTCCAATGGAAGGTTATAGAGAAATGTCACACCCTGTCAAGAACACCAGCTGTAAACTTTCCTCTCTTTTTTTCTTTTTGTGTTTCATTTTTGCATTGAAGCCTGAATTTTTCCAGCTGAGCAAAGTTTGATTAATTATAGCTATTAGTCATTACAGATCCTTCCTTCCTACCAGAAATTGCGTTTCTGCAATGTAATTTTCATAAATAGACCTGAAGACGAAAAGTTTTCAAGGAATATATCTAATCCCAGTTGGTCTGATTATACAACGTCATGGTCTTAACCAGAGGTGGGCAAACTACAGCCTGTGGGCCATATGCGGCCCGCTGAACACTTTCATTCGGCCCGCGAGGGAGTTTTTATAATGCTGCTTCTGAGTAACGGTTTGGTTTCAGAATTAGTAAATTAATAATGTTATTTATTATTTATTGTTATAATAAATTATTTATTAGACAGTTATTTTTGAAGGATTTGGCCTTTCACTTGGTTTGCAAAACTTGATGTAGCTATTCGGGTCTAAAAAGTTTGCCCACCACTGGTCTAAACTATCACTTTTATGCAGAAGATATTTAACTTTTTTCTGTCTGTACACCCACTTTATCCACCCAAATTGATAAAGTGTCTGCTTGTGTGAAGGACATTAATGATAAACTTAACTCAAATTCTTTGAAACTCAACATGGACAAAACTGAGATCATTTTTATTGGCACTCCAGCGCTTGCCAGCAATATTTCAACCAGTTTCTCCTGTGAGATTGCTGTCTCTCACATTAAAACATCTACTTCTGTCAAAAATTTTGGTGTAATCTTTGACTCCACAGTCTCCTTTCAGTCCCACATTAAATGTGTTATTAAATCTGCATTCTTTTATTTATGTCGTATATTGCCCAACTGCGTCCCTTCATTATTAGAGACTGTTGTTCATGCATGTGTTTCTTCACGCATTGACTACTGTAATACCCTTTTCATTGGTCTGCCTGCCAGCAGGGCCGGCGTGTCCATAGAGGCGACCTAGGTGGCCGCCTAGGGCGGCAGTATAGAGAGGGTGGCGTCCGCGACACCTCCCTTACCACCTTTGTCCTCAGATATATTCGCGCATAGACGACAGAATAGAGAGGGCGGCATCAGCGACACCTCCATCAGTACCCGTGTGTCCTCAGCTATATCCGCGCATAGGGCGGCAGAATTGAGGTCCGCGACACTCGCGCGTCCTCAGTTATATCTGCGCGTAGGGCGGCAGAATAAAGAGCGAAGTGTCCCCGACACCTCCCTCCCTCCCTCCCTCAGCACCCGCGCGTCCTCAGTTATATCCGCGCATAGTGCACCGGAAAAGAGGTCTGCGACACCTCACTTCATTTTCATAACCGGTCACTTTTGTTTTCACATTGGGGTTGAGGGCGGCGTGATCGTCCTCTGCCTAGAGCGGCCGTTCAGCTTGCTCCGGCCCTGCCTGCCAGCCTCATCTCCAGATTACAATATATTCAAAACTCTGCGGCTAAAATACTCACTCATACCAAACGTTCTGCTCATATAACCCCAATCTTGTACAACCTCCATTGGCTCCCAGTTGCATACCGCATTAAATTCAGAATTGTCTTTCTCGCATTTAGATCCTTAAATGGCCGAGCTCTCTCTTATATTTGCAACATGGTTGTCCCCTACACCCCTACATGCTCTTTACGTTCCTCTGACTCTGGTCTTCTTCCTGTCCCTTGGTACCGCCTCTCTTCAATAGGGGGCAGATCATTTAGTGTTATTGCACCCAAACTTTGGAACTCTTTACCATGCTCACTCCGTTCTGTTAATAATATCTCTGAATTCAAATATTTACTTAAAACTCACTTGTTTTCTGAATGCTTCACCACTGTTCTGACATACTGACCACTTTATTTGATCCACCTGCACTCTGCTTATTTGTCTCTTAGGTCTTGTTTTGTATTTCCAGTTTGTTGTATTTGACTCCCTGTATGTTTGTGTACCTAATGTTGTCTCTGCTTGTTTACTTTTTTTTCCAATGTCTGCTTGTTACAATCTCTTTTTGTTACATTCTTTGTAAAGTGTCCTTGACCTCTGGAAAGGTGCTATATAAATAAAATGTATCATTATTATTATTAATAGTTTAAAAAGCTGCCATCATTTATACTCGTCCTCATTTTAGTCCTAGATTTAAATGAAGAAATGAGAATGTTTTGCATTAAAAGTTGCATTGCAACAAAAGTTTACACCTGGTCACTTAATGCCCTCCAAAACACATAAGAAACAGAGTTAAATCTGATCGCTCAATACACTTCAGGAGGTAGTTTGGGATGCATTCCAGACAACACTGGACACGTTTAAATGCATCTGGTTGTTAAAACCACACATGTCAATTTTACTCTTACAAAATAATTATAAAAAACTTGAAATCAATCAATCAATCAATCATAAAAGCCACTTAACTTTAAGTAAAGAAAATGCACCACTTTTTTAGTTGATAATATAAGTTGAAAATAATTTGCTTCACTGTAGCCTCCAAATCCAAAGTACGTAATGCAAATGAGGATTTAACTTTTGGGTGAACTCCTCCTTTAACAGTGTGGCTGAGTGTGTTTGTTTATTCGCACTGACAGGCATAATTAACAGGGGAAAACTCTGGGAGAACACTAGTGTCAGAGAGATTTACTCCAAACCGCATAGAGAGATGGGTGAGGTGGAGTCGAGGCCCAAATCCAAATGTTAATCAGATTATTCAAAAAACATAATCCAGAAACCCCCGTTTCTTTTCGTGGAAACTGCAGAGACAGTCATTTGTTTATGGAACATCAGATCTCATTTGGAATTGTATATGGCACGTGCGAGAAAAGGGGAACGTAATGGTGATGGTTGATGGTCAGTTGCTGTAAACGTGACTGACCGCAGGTCTGTGTTTATGCTGAGATGCTCTCATTTAATGTTTTCAGATCAGTATCTGTACGCTGGCACGGCGTCTGATTTCCTGGGCAAGGACAGCACGTTTACCCGCTCTCTCGGCCCACCTCCACACCAGCAGTACATTCGCACAGACATCTCAGAAGACTACTGGATCAACGGTTAGCATTGCTTAACAATCCGGTTTAATGACTAAATGATAGGCTAGCTGTTGCTGTTTATAGCATTTTCTTTCTTTTTTTAGTTGTTGAAGACTAAATAGGCACTAAGCTATGCATGTGGGCAAATGCTTTCAGTTTAGTTTCAATTGATGGCCTGGGTTACCTAAACTGAGTTTTTTTTCATGCATTTATTTCTCAAAAGTTTCAAACATTATTAATAATAAAAGACTCAGTTCATTTGCACAAATTAACAATAAAACAACAATATTATTATAATTTATTTTTGTGTTAACTCTCAATTTTAAGTATCATTTGTCTAGTATCTAATGCTGTGTGAACCTTTCTGTGGAGTCATTCTGATTTCTGCTGATTTAGTGCTCATAAACCATTTTTTTTATCATCAATGAAATTAGTTGATCTACCTGACATTTTTGTGCAGCTGTAATGCATTATTTAGGATTCTTTAATATATAGAAAGTTAAACAAACATGGTTCATTAGAACAAAACTCTTTTGTAACATTATGAACTTGTTGATTTTCACTGTTGATCATTGTAATGGCTCCCTGTTGAATTAATTCATTGTTAAAATATTTGAACAGTGATGCACTGTATATTAAAACAGCATTTTGTTCACACACTCATAGTAACACACATACAAAACCTAAATGTCAGAATGAGGAAAGCCAAAACCACTGAAAATTGCACAGTCATTAATATACTCTTACCACAAACTGATTTACTGTGAAAAATGTGTTAGTGCTTTAAAAGATGGCAAATGTGAGGTTTGTTGCCTGTGTGTCTATGATATATAACTCTGATGATTTACAGAAAAAAATACTTTAGTCATAAATTGATGAGTCAAATCACTCCACAGGGAGGAATGAATGGATGGCCAAGTTGCCAAGTGCAAAAAGAACCATTTCTGTTATTAACTCAACTCTAAGGTTTTTTATATACCCGTAAAAAGTGTCAAATAGTTCACAAATGTTATTTTTGGACTTCCACACCTTGATATATTAAAACGTGACACTAAAAATGTAATACAATATAGTACTTCTTACTGCTTGGACTCTAATTCTTTATATTGCAAAAATAAAATATTGAAAACCCTAGACCTCTCTTATAATCTACCCTTCTGTCCTCTCTCTCCCTTTCTCTTGCTCTAATTCATTTGTAAAAAGTCCAATATAATACAGTCTTTGTGTAGTCGTTGAGGTAATGACTGTCTTTCTTCCACCTTTTCTTTCCTTCTAAATGTTAGAGCCGTTCTAGTTTCTGGTGCAATTTAATGGAGTTTAAAACCCACACAGTCTATTTTCCAACCCTAAACACCCATTTACTGTCTGCTGTGGGTCCTAAAGGAAATGCCTAGCATTTACACTAAACATTAGAATACAGTTTTGTCTTTATACTCTCTCACACACACACAAACAGCGGGGTCTTAAACATTTTAATATGCTTTCAGGCTTTCTTACAAGTCTTATAAAGGGATTGTTGGATTACCATCACAGATATAAATTAAATCTGACCAGCTTTTCTTTCTCTGATCCCAACGGAGGGCAAGTTTTTTTCTGCCCAGCCCGTCTCAGACACCTCAATCCTGATGATTGACGATTGTTGTTTGTGTTACGTTTTATGGCAACTTTTTCCTAATACACAATAGCTCAGTTGACTAAAAAGTTATTGTATTAAACAAGATTTTTCTAAAAACCATTTGAACAAAATTATTTGAAACATTTACCAGTTGACCATTATCTTCACCAGAATATTGATTGTTTTATCATTATAAACTAATTAATAAACTGTTCTTAATAAAAAAGAAAACACTGCAGTGTGTAAGTTTGACACCCAGTGGTTGAACTAGGTATTGTACTCCTGGTACAAAACACACACAAGCGCAGGTTGCCAGATTGACGACACTAAAAGGAGCAGGCCTGACTGTCAAGCCTAAAGCAAAAGAATATTTTCCATATTAAAATGAGTTTTTGTTCTAATCAACACCTGAAATGTATATTTTAGAAACGGCATTTATTTCTTGCAGCTGAACAACCGAAAACTGACAATTATCACCTCAGGTACACCTCATGTGCTTTATTCAGTGATAAATGCTAATAATGTGCATTTGAATGCCTTTTTACATGCAATTTTTTCCCATACTACTGAAAGCAGCAGCAGATCTTTAAAATAAAGTAAACCATTTGAAATTGAACTTTCGAGCTTTGACTCTGTGAAAACCAACACATATCAGGGATTCAGCATGTACATTTAAATAAAGTTAAAGGTTTAATATGTAATAATTCAATGATAAAGCTGATAAATTTGTTGAAGTGCAGCAAGTGCACTATTCTGCGCTTCTGAATAGCTATATTAAAATTTCTGTCCTGTTTTGTTTGATGCAAAAAGCCAAAATGCTTATCACTGCATCTCTCGTCATGCAGCATGTTGTTAGAACACAACCTACTCATGTGAAACTCTAAATCTACGTCTTATTCTGGAGTCTGCTACTGTCCACCGAAGGTCACATTTTAGTCGCGGATTTGTGTTTTGTGAGCCTGTCTGACCGAATAAATGAAATATGCTGTTTTACAACAACACAACCCGGGGTGCTGAAATATAATTGGCTAAAGTGGCATTAAGCGGGTTAAAGAACCAAAAGGCAGCCGTTCTGGCATGTAACTCACATTTTCAAAGCTGAATTTCTGACTTAGTATTGTTTTTCAGGTAAACAAGAATATTCACTCAGCATGTTTCTTAACAACTGCAAACATATTATGGTATTTGTATGCTTTAGAAGAGTAAAAAACTTACATACAACACCTTTAAGCCTAGTTTTACTAACAGCCAGTGCAAAAGTTTAGTTTATTTAGGTTTTTAGGCATGGACTCAGTTGTTTTTGCAGCAGACCTTATAACATTTGCATTTATGTTAAAGGTACTCTTACTAAAGTATAGTTTATGGGAGAAGATTAATTTAAGTTTGCATTTACTGGTAACAATTTTAATAAGCGTCCACACTTTCTTACAAGATTATAAAGGGATTGGTTGGATTACCATCACAGATATAAATTAAATCTGATCAGCTTTTGTCTCTCTTATCCCTACAGAGGGCAAGTTCATTTCTGCCCATCCCATCTCAGACACCTACAATCCTGACGATGACAAGATTTACTTCTTTTTCCGTGAGGCTTCTCGTGATGGGAGCACTACAGACAAGAGCGTGCTGTCTCGTGTCGCCCGGATCTGCAGGGTAAGGCCCGTCCTCACGCTGCCTGATCACAGAGAAACTCACCTCATCTCTCTGATCCTCCTCAGAACTGAAGATTAAATGTGCTTCCTCTGGGGGGAGAGGCTTCCTGGTACGTTTCCCTTGATGTGATCTGCTGAAAGAGGACCAAACCACTGTCAGGCTGGGTAAATCAAAGTAGAGGTCTGGCCATGTAATTGCTGCCTGGACTGTCATTCCTGATCAGATGATCAGAGTCCCTTGGGTTGAGAAATTAATGTGTTAAGTGACTCCATTGTGTTAACACACAGCTTAAAGGGATAGTTCAAAATATGACAATTTAAACACTATTTACTTCCTCAAGTGGTATAATTTTCTTATTTTCTTAATACAAGATTTTTTTTTTTTTAAAAGAAAGCTGATATCCTGTAACCATTGACATCCATAGTAGAAATATACTATGGAAGTTAATGGTTACAGGTTTCCAACATTTTTTAAAATATCATTTTTTCAATATCAATAGGAAATAAAAGTGTAAAATAAGTAAAAAGAATTTTCATTTTTTGAGCGAACTATCCCTTTAAAAAAATGTCCACTATGAAGACTGGGGTCATTACCCATAAATAATCAAGATGAATCATATGGAAGAAAGTTCAAAGATTTCATTGATTGCAACTTCGTCATTTTAACACCCTTCGAGGGCACTGTTTCCAAGGATATTCCTGAGGATTGTTAGCAATTGAATCTCTTCCACAAGGTCGTCATCAAATCATACACAGGATGGAAGTAATTTAGGCATCGATTGCTCACCAAAACCTTGAGTTTGATTTAAAATGTTAATACTTAAATACAAAGCATGTGGTAGGACAAATACAGTACATGTGGAAATACTACTATTTTTTTAATTTGTAAACTGAAAAATGAGTAGTCAGTTGGCCGTTATTGCGAAATAATATTATAAAAAAATGGAATGACCTTAAAGCTTAAAGGAAAAACTCAGGAATTAGAGTTTTATTTTCTGAAACACAAAAGAAAATACAATTCTCAAAGCTAAAAAATCAGTTTCTAGCTTTATTTTTAATGTACTTTTTGTTCACCATTAAAAAAAAATTCAAACAGGTTTGGAACAGGTAGAGGGTAAAGAAAAATGAGCTGAACTTTCCTTTTAACAAAATAGATGGGGTTTGTGTGTATATTCTGAACAATATCTTAAGCATACATCCACTAGACTGATTAGAGTTGACTCCAGGCCTGTGATAAGGATCCACAATCAAATAGAACATACACAAAGTACAATATGTTTCTTATCCAAGGCTGAGTGTACTCTTAGCCGTCTTTATCAAAACTGGTTAAAAAACAGTATAATCTACATTCAGGCAGTTATAATCCTTATTACACAAAGTCTTTATTTAATAAACAAGAAAAGAATCACTTTAAAAGAATTAACCGTAAAAATAGCTAAATCACTTTAGACATTTTAGATAGTCTTAACTCATAGAAATAACAATAGAAACAGTTGCTTCCGGTCCTCAGCCCTCAGTTCCACTTAAGGTCTTCATGACCTCTGACCGAGTTTGGTGGCTCCTGAAAATAGTTATAAAGAGACAGGCAAATGCACTGAACATTCTTATATTAAGTGTGTTAACTTTTTCATTAATTAAAATCAATTCACAGTTAAATACTCATTCAAATTATCAAATAATTCTATTTAATAAATTAAAAAAAATTATGAGAAACAGGATGATGAAAAGGATAAACGTTGGTCCATGATGAAACGGATTGGAAAGCAGAAATCAGAATCCTTCAATTGTTTTTTGATTTTTAAAAAAAAAATGTATTAGGCGAGTTAGTAGGCATTTCTGTGTGGAGTTTGCATGTTCTCCCCGTGTTCACGTAGGTTTCCTCCGGGTGCTCCAGTTTCCTCCCACAGTCCGAAGACATGCGCTATAAATGAATTGGGCAAGCTAAATTGTCCGTAGTGTATGTGTGTGAATGAGTATATGTGGACCCCAGATTAATAAAGGGACTAAGCCGAAAATTATTCAGTTTATTTAGGAGGTAATTAATAAATGTAAAAACAAAAGTTAAATTGTGAAATGTGTATAAAAGTTTTAAATAACTGCTCACTTATTTTATGTAGTTTCAAATGAAATTATTACTCCAGCCATTATTGCTTGTATTACTATTACCATTGACAATAATAATAGTATTATTAATAATAATAATAATATTAATAATAATTGGTATTATAATGAAGTTATTTCTGAAGGGACTATGTGACTGACGACTGTAGTAAGGAAGCTAAAAATTCATTTAAAATCACTGGAATAAATAATTAAATTAAATAATAAAATAATTGTGAACAGTTATTTTATAGTGCAATAACATTTCACAATTTCACAATTTGTATGGTATTTTTGATGAAATAAACGCAGCCTTGGTGAGCAGGAGAAGCTTATTTTAAAACTTTTAAAAATCCTACAGACTCCAAACTTTTTACCGGTAATGTATGTTAAAATGGAATACTGTAAATTAGAGTACAGATGACAATATTGCTGCTTTTAATAAACAGATGCAACCTTGGTAATCACATAAGAAAACATTTTAAATAATCTTATCAGCCCTAAACGTTTTAACGTTATAGAGAGCATGCCATACGCTGGAAATGGATCTAAATATTTTAATTTGGAACGCTGATTGACCAATCCTAATCGAATATTATAAAGAGCTGATTTTTAATAAGTGTTCGCACATGTCAGCTGTCATCCAGCAGCAATTATAAAACATCAATGATTTAAAGCTGTTTTCTTAATGCTATAGACTCATCCTCCCAGGCTGTATGCTATAAAAATTCCAAGCTCTATTGCAAAATTCTTGGTCTGGAGCAGGAGGGTTTTTATAGCTTTAGGAGAGAGCTGTAAAGCAATCTGAGGCCAGATTCCTCACTGGATAACTGGCCTAACACGAGAAGAGGGCATCTTTGAAGATTAAAGAATTTGGAAAACACCACTCCTAAACCTCTTTTAGGTCTCTTCCCCCCTTTTTTTCTCAAGTGTGTGTGTTATTCAACATGGAGAATGGCAGTGGAGGAATATGTTTGCTGCTTTAAGCGAGTGTAGATGAAATCATTGAAATCCTTTGATTAAACCCTTCTGGCAGTAATGAGGAGATCTGTTTAAGTGTTCTCAGCATGTCTTCTCTTTCTGAGACCTTTCAGTGATCTTTTGTGCATCTAAATACGTAAAACCTGCTCATGGAGAGGGTCATTATATTCTCTTTATAAACTCTCCTTGCTCGCTTTTCTCCATTTCTTGAACAGTCTTTCTTTGTCTCTCGTGTGTGCATTTGTGCTCCTCTTTAGCCTTTGTGTTACTGAAGGGCTTGTGGTTTGCTGTCGTCTTATGCTTAATTGAATAAGCTGCTTTAATCAGAAGCAAATGCTGGGTTTACATTTTATTATGAAAGTCTATAAAATATATAATAACTGAGGATTTAAATGATAAACACATGCTTTCGGAATGACTTCACTGAAATGTCCTATATTTGCGTGTGTCTGTGTGTGTTTTTGCATGAAGAACGATGTTGGAGGTTTGAGAAGTCTTACTAACAAGTGGACAACATTTCTCAAAGCGAGACTCGTGTGCTCCATTCCTGGACCAGATGGAGTGGACACACACTTTGATGAGCTCCGTGAGTGATGTGTTTTATGTTACTTCTCCCTCCCACAAACGCATATTTTAGATTTATCAGACTTTTTAAAATGTGTGTATGTGTGTGTGTGTTACAGAGGACATCTTTCTTCTCCCTAGCAGAGATGAGAAAAACCCTATGGTGTATGGAGTGTTCACCACTACCAGGTTAGTGTGTCCAACGCAAGCTCACGGCAATTCGTAACTTTTTGATTCAGTGGTTATTTCGTATGAATTCGTACGATATAGTTTGTACAATTTAGTACGATTTGCTCATCATCCAATGACAGTTGGGGTTAGGGGTGGGGTTGGGTGTCACGACCTCCTTTCTAAAAACGGATATTTTCGTACGACTGAACTAAACTGACAAAACGTAAAATACTTACGTTTTCTTGTAAGATCAGGCTGGTGTATCAGTATTTTTATCTTGGTACTGAAGCTTGAAAAGCAACCCAAAATACAGTTTAATCAATGTAGAGTTATACTTTTTTTTTTTTTGTTATTTCACATTTTGTTGCCTATTAAACAACTTTTCAGCTACATATCAAATCTCAGTGTAATATAATGTATGTATATATAATATAATAATAATTGTATGTACTTGTAAAGTTATTTTTGGCCACATTTACATTTAGGATTTACTTGTACATGTAGAAAATTACATTCAATCTGATACAAGATCATGCTGGCAGCCTTTACTCCCGGCATCCTGGCCAAATTTGCCAAAAATGAGTAAAGCGATTTGAGTGTTTTCAGCTTATTCCCTATAGTAATCTGGGGTCACCACAGCGGAATAAACTGCCAATTTATCCAGCATATGTTTTAAGCAGCGGATGCCCTTTCAGCCACAACCAAACACTGGAAAGCACCCATACACTCTCACATTCACACACATAATCTATGGCCAATTTAGCTTTTTTAGATTTAATACACTCATAGCGCATGTCTTTGTACTGTGGGGGAAACCGGAGCACCCGGAGGGAACCCCTGAACATGGGAAGAATATACAAACTCCACACAGAAATGCTTATTGACCCAGCTGGGGCTTGAACCAGCGAACTTCTTGCTGTTAGGCGATTGTGCTACTTGTGTTCCTTTACGTTTGCTGGGGCTTGATCTCTTTAAGATCTTGCCGAGTTTTTTTTTTTTTTTTTTTGTTAATAGAGGTGCTCTGCAATTAACATCATACTGTATAACCTACACCTATATTTACCTTTAAAAAACACCTAGAAAATAATCATTTTAAATAATGTTATCTTCTGAGAAGTTCCTGACTCCAGAGCTATACATGCTGTATATACATGAAAGTTTAAAGCAACGTGTTTCCTACTTTTGTACTTTTTTTATCTTATGAGTAGCATAAAATCACTGTCCACTGAGAAAATACCTTTTTCCTTTTCTTCGAGACATTCAAAATAATAAACGCATTCTCTCATTGAAGAAGTGATTTTTTAAAAAGTAACGTTATTACGTAACTCATGTTACTTGTAATGCATTATTCCCAACACTGCCTGTTTGTAATGTGAAATGCTTTTACTGAAGTTTTTAGCTTCTTATGTTTTTTGTGGGGTTAGTTCCATCTTTAAAGGATCAGCAGTGTGCGTCTATACAATGGAAGACATCCGTGCAGCGTTTAATGGACCGTATGCTCATAAAGAGGGACCAGATCATCGCTGGGTGGAATATGAAGGCAGAATTCCCTACCCACGTCCAGGCACTGTTAGTAACACTCTTTACACTCCACTTTCATGCTCTTCTCTTTTTCTTTCTTTATCAGGGGCAGACTCTTTCATACATCACCACTAGAGGGAGTCATAACACTACTTATGCCCCCTTTGCTTCCAGTTATTGTTTTTTCTACATACATTAAAGTGGAAATATAATGCCTATTTAGATAATGCCATGTGCAGTTACATCACTTCATATGCATACAAAATTACTTGCAGATTTCATCTTTTTCTACTTTATTTTCTAAACACATCTTATTTTCCCTCTTGCAGTGCCCCAGTCGGACATATGATCCTCATATAAAAACAACGAAAGACTTTCCAGATGAAGTCATCAGTTTTATACGATTGCACCCACTCATGTACCAGTCTGTGCACCCAATGACAGGCCGACCAATTTTCACTCGTATCAATACTGAGTACCGGCTTACTCAGATCATAGTGGACCGCGTGGCAGCTGAGGATGGACAGTATGCTGTTATGTTCTTGGGCACAGGTTAGAAAGACTTGACAAGTCATATAAAACAGCTACATTTATGATGGTGAATTTTTGGGGAAATAAGGAAATGTGATTTAGATATTTGATAAACTCTTAAAGGGATAGTTCACATAAGAATAAAAAAGGTGGCTTGCCATCTCCAGGTTGGAGGAAAGTTCTTACCCCAGATGGTCCGTTGTGGTAAAGAAAGAGCCGAGTTAAAAGGCAAAGCTCTCAATTTACCATTCAATCTACACTCCTACTCTCACCTGTGTTCATGACCTTTGAGTCATGACCGAAAGGACAACATATCAGATACAAGCAGCCGAAATGAATTTCCTTTCAGGGTGGCAGGGCGCACCCTTATAAATAGGGCGAGGAACTCTGTCACTCGGGAGGAGCTCGGAGTGGAGCGGCTGCTCCTCCACATCGAGAGAAGCCAGCTGAGGTGGTTCGGATGTCTCCTTGATCTCTACCTAGGGAGGTGTTCCAGGCATGTCCCACCCGGAGTAGGACTTAGGGAACTATGTGTCTCAGAACGCCTCAGAATCCCCCTGGAGGAAGTGTCTGGAGATATGGGAAGCCTTGGCTCCTCTTCTGAGACTGCTGGCCCCGTGACCCGGCCCCGGAAAAGCAGAAGAAAATGAATGAGAATAAATGAAGGCAGGCAGCACGGGTAGCACAATTGCCTCACAGCAAGAAGGTCACTGGTTCGAGCCTCAGCTGGGTCAGTTGGCATTTCTGTGTGGAGTTTGCATGTTCTCCTAGTGTTCCGGGTGTTCCGGTTTCCCCTCAAGTCCAAAAACATGTTGTAAAGGTGAATTGGGTAAGCTAAAATTGTCCGTATTTATGTGTGTGAATGAGTGTGTATGGGTGTTTCCCAGTAATGGGTTGCAGCTGGAAGGGAATCCGTTCCGTAAAAACATATGCTGGATAAGTTGGTGGTTCATTCCGCTGTGGCGGCCCCAGATTAATAAAGGGACTAAGCTGAAAAGAAAATGAATTAATTAACGACTCATCCTAATCTTAAACCCTTATAAATTTCTTCTGTTGAACACAAATGAAGATATTTCGAAGAAAGCTGCAAACCTGTAATCATCAGCTTGTATATTTAAAAAAATGCTATGGAAGTCAATGGATCCAGTTTTAAAAATACCTTATTTTGTGCTCAACAAAAGAAAGAAACTCATGAAATTTTGAATCAAGTAAAGTGAGAGTAAATAATGACGGAATTTTAATTGGGTGAACTATGCCTTTAAGAGTGTATGATCTGCTCAACCAGCAGATGGCAGTAGATCTATATGAGACACAAATGTGTGCACTTTTGTTTGCATAGATATGGGATCCGTATTGAAGGTAGTCAGCATCACTCAAGAAAACTGGTCCTCAGAAGAGATCATCTTAGAGGAGCTTCAGGTGTTCAAGGTGAAAGTCACAAACATTCAAATATGCAACATTTATGACTGGATGAAAATCAACATCGCTATGTTATTTTTCCTTTCAGAATCCTTCACCCATCCTCAACATGGAAGTCTCTTCAAAGCAGGTACTTGATTCTAATAAATTAAATATTTAGCTTGGGAATGAAGAAAGAAAATAAATTGTTAAACAACATTTGAATCTTTTTCTTCCAAAATGACCAACAGCAATCATCAGCAAGCTGTTTTTGTTTTTGAAGTTTCATTGGACTATTATTTGTGAAGATTTAGTAACTGCAGCTCAAGTTCTCAAGCCCTGATCTCATAACAAATGCACTCAGGCCTCTATTGTTTTGTTCTGTTTTATCAGAGTCTTGCGGATGAGTATGTTTTTCTGTTCTTGTGCCATTCCTTTCATTTTTCCTTCACACTCCCGTTTGTCTAATTATCTCTTATTATCTTTTGCAGTTCATGGTTGGGTTCGCAGTTCACTCGAAAGCTTTTATCCTCCTTTCTCTGTGCGCTCAGCTAGAATTATAGGGTTACATCAGCAGGCCACTTGGCCAATTCTTTCTGTAATTATTTATTTTTAGGGTCCTTTGGCTTTTAAGAGCAGAGCATTATAGAGCACAGACAAGAAATTAAATGGAGAATACAAGCGGGATGGAAGGACAAAAATTGACATAAAATACTTTGTTTTTCTACAAGCTGTAATCGTTAAACAGTTTCACGTCATCTCTATTTATGTAGAGCTTTATGCAGTACAGATTGTTTCAATGTAGCTTAACAGTAAAAAGCAAACCAACGGAACCAATTTGTGCAAACTTAAAACATGAGACACATTCTAATGTTTCAATAAAGTGACTCTAAAAGGGAAATAGTAGACTTTTTAAGCTCAATTCAGTTTAGTGTGTCCATTTAATTGATTATGATTCATCTATAAGCAGCTCTGCAGAAGATAGTATTGTCATTATTTAGCTTGAATCACTTGAATCAGCTGAATCGATTCAATTCAGTTCAATAACCTTGTCAGTGCTGCAACATTTGTAAGTTATGAAACTAACTGCATTTGACTGTAATGCAGTTCAGCCAAACAAATATGTCAGTGTCATTATTCTTCTTCCCTTAGTTTTGATTCCACACAATAGTGTTATTATATATAGCAAGTGTATTTTAAAACCCACCAACACAAGCAATGCCAACAGTGACAAACCATTTAGAAATCTAATATACAGTGCTTATAGAAAATGATCATACCCTGTGAAAATCTATACCTTTACTCACTTAATAACCTGCTTTTAGAAGACCTTCAGGATAAAGTTGTAGAAAGGCACAGGTTGAGAGAAGGCTACATAAACCTTTAATTTAATTTCATTTAATTTTCGGAATGAGCGAAATGAACTGCCAACTTATCCAACATACGTTTTACAAAGCGGATGCCCTTCCACCTGCAACCCAGTACTGGGAAACATTTTTCGACACTCATTCATACACATACACTGCTAACCACTGAGTCACCGTGTTGCCTAAAAACCTTTCAAAGGTTGGAAAAGGTATTTGGATTGTGATTTTATTTTTAGGCTCTATGACAAATAAAGTAACTATTACAAAGGGGTATGATGATTTTGCTATAAGCACTGTATTCAAATTACATATAGGGCACAGAAGTTCATTGTGTTTCACATTTACAAAACATTGAAATTACAAATATGTACATATACTGTATGTTCAATTATATCAGCTGTAATTATATATTGTGTATATACATATTATAAGTAGAAAAATCAGTCCTGTGATTCCTGTCCAATCAAATCGCACATAGAAAGTAAATCGCATCATACTGAACAACCTCAAGACATGGGTATTATTTATAGTGCAGCAAACCTTTTGGAAGCATTAAAAATGTCCAACATCTTTGCACGCAATGACCCAGAGACTGTTTATAGACTGTCACTGATGAAAAGATGAAGGATGTTGACAGCATGATGACTGAAATCTCCAAACAGCCCTAAACAATCACTAAATGGAACGAATGAAGAATGAAAGGAAGGGTCAAACAAGGAATGGAAGGAAGGACTGGATGAAGGAAGAAAGCACCGAACTACTGAAGGAAGGAAGGATCGAATGAAGCAAGGTTTCAAAAAAGGAATGAAAAAACTAAGGAACGAAGGATGGAATGAACGAATGAATGAATGAACAAAAAACTAAATGAAGGAAGGAACAAAAGAATGAAGGAACCAAGTAATGAGTGAATGAATGAAGGGAGGAACAATGGCAGGAACAAATGAATGAATGAATAAAGAAACAAACGAATGAATGATTGAAGGAAGGAAAGAGCAAACAATGGAAGGAAGGAACGAATGAATGAATATAGGAAGATAACTAAAAGCACTACAGAATGTTATGTTTACACATCCCTGCACAAACCTTTTACTGTGTAATACTCACTACTCATAAGTATTTTTGAAAGGGCTACTTATACTACATATACTTTTACTCTACTTGTACTACATTTTTGGGCAAGTAAAGGTATTTTTAATTGAGTATGATTTTTCAGTACTCATCACCTTAGAATTATAAGGTTATATCTGACACTTTTGTCAAAATTGAGTAATTGACATTCTCATTAAATGACAACTTATTTCCATTATAGGATGTTTTTTTATGTATATAAGTTGTTTGCATTTTAGGCCTTTTTATTTTAAAAAACAAATGTTACACACATACTGTTTGTTCTATGGAATGCAAACTTTGAAACTCAATATCTCAAAATCATCAGAACGCAGTTAGAACCTTATAATTCCAAGGAGACATACTCTTTCCACCACTGATATAAATGAATATATCAAATGTAAACTATACATGGAAACAGATTTAAATTCAAATCAACAAACAGGATAATATGTTTGTTTAAATGAGATCTTGAACTTCATTTGTGTTTAAAATGTTAAATAGTAAGGTCTGCTGCTGCTTCATGCTGAGAGAAAAACAACAGCACACTTTTTGTGCTTGTTTGTTTTATAGTTTATTTCGCTTGAGTCACACGTACACATGGTTCTTTTTAGAGTTTGTTGGACCAAAAAAGGCAGCAAACAAGTGACATTTACTGATAACGCTATTAGAGTGGTTCCTCTAGTAAGCACTTTTTTGTGATTGCACCTGGTTTAGTACTTTGTTTATGTGTGTGTGTTTGCAGCAGCAGCTGTTTGTCGGAGGAAGCGACGGGTTGGTGCAGGTGTCACTGCACAGGTGCCATATTTATGGACAGGGCTGTGCTGAATGCTGTCTAGCAAGAGACCCCTACTGCGCTTGGGACGGCACCCAGTGCTCCAGATACATCCCAGCTTCCAAAAGGTAACACACACAGCGCTCGGTAGTAATGGATTATAGAGTTGAGGGCAAAAAATATTAGCCCTCCTGTGAAATTCTTTTTCAAATATTTCTCAGCATAGCAAGGATATTTTCACAGTAATTTCAATAATATGTTTTCTTCTGGAAAAGACAAATTTCTTATATTTTGGCTAATGAAATTAATTTGTACTTTTTTTTTTACATTTTTTAAAAGGTCAATATTATTAATATTTTTTTGATTGTCTACAGAACAAACCACTGCTTTACAATCACTTACCTAATTATTCTACCTTGCCCAGTTATGATAAATAACCTAGTTAAGCCTTTAAATTGCACTTTAAGATGAATACTAATGCCTTGTACAATATCTAGTCAAATATTTTGTTCTGTCATCAATGATAGCAAAGACTAAATAAATTAGTTATTAGAAATATTAATTTTACAAATGTATTTTAAAAAATCTTCTAAGCAGCACCTACACTTTTCAAACTATAATTCAGACTTTAACTGTATGTCATCTGGATTGGTGGAGATTTTTTTTCATATTTATGGATTACTTGATTACATATTATTTATGTCAGTGGTTTACAAAGTGGGGGTCGGGGGGAAATGACCGGGGGTTCTTTGGTGATTTCCAAAAGTCAAATACATTTATTAAACAATTTAAATTACCCATATTTTATCCATAATTAAGCCACAGAAGTTTAAAATAGTAGTTACATAAATAACAACAACATGCAAATGAAAAGCCATCATACTTTCAATTATTTTTTAATCTACTCAGTTACAGTAATTTGAGTATTTGTATTTTGTTACTTTACTACATCTAGAATAATACACAGATACAATGTTCACACTCCAGTTCTCAAAGCAGTTTGAAACAAAAACATTTCAATATTACGTCAAACAAAGTACACCAACAAACGTTAATCAAACAATAATAGATCAAAGCAAAAGGGGAAGAAACACACACATCAAACAAATGACAAACACAGTTCAAGTTCACACGAAATGCCGGGTATATCTGAACTGATACAGCGTTGTCTTTATATAGTATATCACCCTGCAGGCCAAGACCGGTTACTCACTGAAGCTAAGCAGGGTTAAGCCTGGTCAGTACCTAGATGGGAGATCATATGGGAAAACTAGGTTGCTCTTGGAAGTAGTTAGTTAGCTGTGTTAGTGCAGACCAGCTGGGGGCACTCATCCTGCAGTCCTTATTCCCCAGTAAAGTGAATGGGATACTATACTGTCAGTGAGTACCGTCTTTTGGATAGGACATTAAACTGAGGTCCTGACTCTCTGTGGGCATGAAAAATCCCATGGCACTTCTTGTAAAGAGTAGCGGTGTAACCCTTGTGTTCTTGGCCCTTACCCTTCATGGCCTCCCAATCATCCTCATCCACCGAATTAGCTCTATCACAATAGAGCTGGTGTGTGGTGAGCACACTGGCGCCGTTCCCCTGTGGCTGCTGTTGCATCGTTCAAGTGGATGCTGCACACTGGTGGTGGTAAGAAGAGACCCCCCTCATGATTGAAAAGTGCTTTGGGTGTATAGGTATTTGGGTCCATATAAATACACAATGCTTACTTACTTACTTACACCATCCTTCAGCGAAACGTTTGGGAGTCTTCTCAATTGGGGCATCGCACGTCAGTCTGTATCCTAAATGATTGATATTCAAAACAGCCAACCCGCGTACCCTAGAAACGCAAAACTAAAACAACAATTCCAAAACTGTATAATAACATATGGACATAACACTAAATATATAAAAAGTAAATAGAAATGGGCTCAACATTGGCTGAGTCAGTTGGTATTTCTATGTGGAGTTTGCATGTGTATATATAGTATTTAGTATATATAGCACACATATACTGAATACTCATACACACACACACACACACACACACACACACACATATGCATAGTTGAACGGATTAAGCAATTGTCCCAAAGATAAGTCGATGCAAAGCCTTGACATTGATTCACAGAGTCAGCACTTCTGTCGAGTCAACACTCTTCTTATTGGCATCTAAAGCCACACATGTGTCCTGTGACATCCCTGAGATGTGCACCGTGTGCAGTTTGCTGTTTAGGATAGCGAAAAGTTAAAAGAGAGATAGAGAGAGGGCTTTGTGGTGCCCTCTTTCTGACCTACTTCTCCAGGGTGAGTTGTTTCCTGGAGTTCAGCACAGAGAAGAAAATGATAAATATTTGATTTTTCCTGTGCCATAGGGTGTAGTGGGACCGGGCTGGACAGGCAAATTGATTAAAGTTGCTTTGTTGTTGAGATGATGTATGTGAGCTGCCAGAGAAGTTTTCTTGCCCTTTCTCTCCCCGGCTCTCCGGTCCGCCACTGACGCAAAGAGGCCAGGTCAGTCCTGCAGAGAGAGGGAGAGAGAGAGAGGAGAGAAACACACAGAGAGGAATGACAACTGTAGTGCTGCTGTGTTTGAAGTGAAACAAAGAACTTAATATGAAATTTGCTTTATTGTTTTGTTTCTTTTCTTTTCTCTGAAGATTACCCTGTGATGCTTTTTATAAACAGTTAATCAGGTTAATTATTTCATTATTTGCTCTCATTGTCTACAAAAATAATCTTGTTTTATTCTTTGTTTTGAAATTAAAAGAAGTTCAACTGAGCAGTGGTTTGCTGTTACATTTCAACGCATGATGAAAGCAAAGTGTAGATGATTATGCACTCTAGAAAACGTTGAGTTGTTTATTTAACCCAATGGCTGAGTTACAAACATTTGGTGCTTTGGTAATGTATTTTTAAACCAACTATTTTTACAGAGTGTAAATATGTGCTTTTAATATATATTAAACTACTTTGGGGCTCCACACTAAAATTAATTCCCACCATGGCTATGTTACATCTTCTTAAAGCCTTTAGTTGTTGCCATTTTTTAAAATATAGCAGGTTATAATCGCACCAAAATATATTAAAATGTAGGTGAATTATCTACCAAACCTTCCTGTTATTGTAGTAGTGCTGCGCGTTATTTGTTTAACCCTTTAAGGTTACATGCTGAATGACTGACTCACAGGTCTGTGCAATGCGTGAGGGCAGCAAACACAACGTAGCTTTCAGTTATGATGATCACAGTTTCCATAATTACACTGTATAAATAGATAAAGGTCTATGGTTCTGCATACAATTAATTACTTTATCTTGTTAGAGTTTATAGCCATTTCACTTTACTTCAGGAGGCATCAATGTCATTTTGTAGGTCTATTGGAGACGTTCATAAATATTCCTAGCAAATCTAACAAATGTGGGATCCATACAAATTACATAAACACACTAAAACGCACTTCATCAGCGTTTATTTTAGGTCGCACAAAAAAATCTGCACTTGAGCAGCGTATATTTGAGGGCGTGCAAGAAGTTTTGTGCACGAACAGAGGAAATCGGCACGCAAGCAAAGAGATTCTCATGCTCGTATTACATGAATGCAATCTCGTCTTGTAGTACTATGCTCATAACATTTTGTTATTGAAATAACACCATATGTCGTTGGAAGATCTGTGTAAAGGGCCTGCCGCTACAGCTGGAAAAAATCCTAGTGCAAACATTTAACTATTTGTAAATATATACATTTATTTTAATTCAGCACTCCAGACAAGTCAATCATGTTTATTAATACAGCACATCAAACAGTAGATTGCTTTAAAGCAAGCAGCATTAAAGTATTAAAGATAAATCTCTCAACAAGCATAATTTTGCCCTGATTTTGTTTAAAGTTGTGTCATGCCAGTTTAATTTAATTCACCTTTATTTCTATAGAGCTTTTATAATGTAGATTGTGTCAAAGCAGCTTAACACAGAAGGTCTAGTAAATTGAAATTGAAACTGTGTCAGTCCAGTTTTCAGAGGTTATATTAGTTTAGTTCAGTTCAGTGTGGTTTAATTCTTACTGCTAAAAGTCAAAACACTGAAGAGCAAATCCATCGATGCGCAGCTCCACAGTTCACTCACTTTTATTTGGCTTCTTCCCAGTTTGTGGTCACCACAGTGGTATGAATTGCCAATTACTCTGGCATATCTTTTTCACAGCAGATGTCCTTTCAGTCGCAACCCAGCATTAAGAGTACAAAGCTCAGTGCTAGGAAACGCTCACATACTACAGCCAATTTAGTATGTCCAAATAACTTGTTTAGCATGTCTTTGGACTGTGGGGGGAAACCTGGAGGTCTGGTTGCAGACTTGGTGCAGTTGCAAGGTGAGCTGCATGCAATGCTGTTTAATGTGCACATCTAACCCTACCTCTCACAGTAATGTCACAAGCTCTATTTAGTGCATTGTGTCTGACATTGCAAGTTTGAGATATGCAGTCTTAGCTTGAAAAATCCAAGTCTGCATCTACTATTGGAAACCTGAGGAAACCCATGTGGACATGGGGAGAACATGCAAACTCTACTGAGAAAGTCCTCCTGGTGCAGCTGAGACTTGAACCAGTACCTTCTTGCTGTGAGGCAACAGTGCTAACTTTAGACCTTGACATAATTCATAATTCAAAATTACCCAGTATTAGAATTTATGTCTACTTCATATTGTTTTCCAGACAGTGGCAAACCTGGTTGTTCTTCTTCTTCTTTAAAAAAGACACAAATTAAAATAGGTCATTTATTAAGGTCATTTTGAGGCAAATCATTCATTCATTCATTTTTCTTCGGCTTAGTCCCTTTATTTATCAGGGGTCGCCACAGCGGAATGAACCGCCAACTTATCTAGCATATGTTTTACACAGTGGATGCCTTTCCAGCTGCAACTCAGTACTGGGATATATCCATACACAGTCATTCACACTACGACCAATTTAGTTCATTCAATTCACCTATACCCTTATGTCTTTGTACTGTGGGGGAAACTGGAGCACCCAGAGGAAACTCACGCAAACACAGGGAGAATAGCAAACTGAAAAATGTCTCTTGAAACTTCAATTGTTTTTCTATCAATTTGTTTTTGTTTTTATGCATTTAGCAGATGCTTTTGTACAAAGGGAATTGCATTGCATTCAAGGTACTTCTATTGTTTCATGCATACCTTGGGAAAAAAAGTCATAATTTAGGCGTTGCTTGTGCATTGTTTCGTCTACAGTAATAGAAATTGTTTCTATTGCTTCTACGTGCATTCTGTGTCTGAAAATGTTCCAACTAATAACTGATGTAATGTTATTGATCAATTCTAAAATGTAATCAAGGTTAATCTGATGCATGCTCAATTAAAGGCTTTCTGATGTGTGCTTACAGAAGGGCCAGAAGGCAGGACATCAAACATGGAGACCCATCCAGCCATTGTTGGGACACAGAGGATGGTAAGAAAGCATATGAGGGCGTACAGTCTGTGTGTGTGTGTGTGTGTGTGTGGGTGTGTGTGTGTGTGTGTGTGTGTGTGTATGTGTGTGTGTGTGTGTCTCTGTGTGTGTGTGTGTGTGTGTGTGTGTGTGTGTGTGTGTGTGTGTGTGTGTGTGTGTGTGTGTGTATGTGTGTGTGTGTGTCTCTGTGTGTGTGTGTGTGTGTGCGCAGCATAAAAGCACTAAAAGCTCTGTTTTGTTTTAAGATGCTGCATTGTCCTGTGGGGCTCACCTAATGGACCTCAATGTTAACCCAAAAAAATGTCTTTTTGATATGCTGATCGCTCCCTCTCTCTTTCGCTTTTGCAGTGTTAGGGAGGAATGTCGAGGAGAAGGTGTTGTACGGAGTGGAGAGTAACTCCTCTTTTCTTGAGTGCGTTTCGAAATCCCAGCAGGCCTTGATCCGCTGGTTTGTACTGAAGCCAGGAGTGGACCACCGTCAAGAGGTATCAGTAACCTAGAGTACATCAGTGTGTGTGTGTGTGTGTGTGTGTGTGTGTGTGTGTGTGTGTGTGTGTGTGTGTGTGTGTGTGTGTGTGTGTGTGTGTGGCTGTGCGTGTGTGTTTTTTGTTCACCTACTTTGTAGCTACACTGAAAAAATATTCATTGGATTTACTAGATTTTTTAAGGTAACTGGTTGCAAACAATTCAACACAGGGTCATTCTGAAAACGTAGCCCTATATACATTTCTGGAGGTCGCAAATTATGTAGTCAGAAGTACGTGTGGCTGCATTTCATCTTTCATCTTCCTTTTCATGCTTACCAGCTGACCACTTACCTCCATGTGGACAGCTTTCCCGTTGTTACCAGTTTGTCCAGTGGTTTGCACCATACGTTGGCCCCAAGACCCCGACAATGGGGTTCAAGTCTGATGAAGGTTGGTTCCAAAAAGCAGGTAAAACAAAAACAAAAGGCAAAAAATAAAATAAATAAGTAAATAACAGTGTGAGAATGTGGTGAAATCTGAAAACATGGTAAAAACCATGGGGCTTTTTTTTCTGGATTGCTTTTTAAAACACTGTTGGTTGAGTTTAGGGAGGTGAGTGGGCACTGCTCAATCTGTGTTTTTTAAAACATTATCAGTTGAGTTTAGGGTAGGGAGAGGTCGGGAGGCTCGTTTGGTCGGTCGGTCGGTCAGTCAGTCAGTCAACAGCGACCTCTGGTGGATTTACATGAGAACAGCAGGCGTGAATGGCACTTGCAAGAGAAATTTCTCTCAAAAAACGTACACAACAAAAACTGCTAAACAAAAACATAGCTCCTGGGTTGTATTTGGCACACTCCAGAAATGCATATAGGGGTACGTTTTCAGAATGAGCCTGGGTTGTTAAAAGGTTGTTGTTTTTTGTTGTTTTTAAAATGTCTCAGCATTGATGTACTTTAATGCATAGCCTGGCTATATTCCAGTCATATTTTCTCTTTTTAACTATGTCTTTTAGCATCACAGGGTTATTTTATCATTGGACACCCTCTAGAAACTGATTTACAGTACCTCTCAACTGCCTGGTGCTTAAAAAAGCAAATGTTGCATAATTCTGAAGATATATTACCAAACAATTGGTTATAACAGAAAAAAACAGATCTCTTTTGGTTATAGCGAAAACAGCTTTGGGCTCAGAAATCTGGGCGAACATAAACGTAAAGATGCAGAATACATCAGAACTGTCCAAAACTGACCTTCACTGGTGGATTCATCCCTCTCTTTTACTGTTTTACACATTTAATCTCATTCTCCATTAAAAAAATGAAAAATAACAGTAGTTACTAAAATAACTTTAGGATTAAAAATGAAAGATTAATAAAAAAGTAATGAATAGATATTGCTTTCAAATTGTGGTTCAACAGAAGATTAAAAAAGCAAACTAGTAAAACTGGCCTGGACAAAACTGAAGGAGACCAACAATTTTGTCCGTTTCTGTATGTGGGCAGAGGATAGTTCATAGTGCAGATACAGAGGTCAGTTTAACCTTGTGCTGTGTCTTTATTAGCTGTGATGAATAGACGGGGGCCAAGACCTGACTCTGGAGAGGTAGATCAGCATATCCTTCTATCGATCTATCTCCACAACAATTAATCCCAACAGGAGTGTGTGTGTGTGTGTGTGTGTGTGTGTGTGTGTGTGTGTGTGTGTGTGTGTGTGTGTGTGTGTGTGTGTGTGTGTGTGTGTGTGTGTGTGCGTGTGTGTGTGAGAAAGAGAGAGAGAGACATTTGGGGAGGCATGACAGCAGAAGGTCAAATCACAGCACAAATGTCACATGACTGTAGATGCTATCCGAGAAGAAATGTCCAGTTCCTGTAGTCCCACATCTCAAGTAAACATCAGCCCTGCTGTGATGCATTCCTTTTGTTTTTGTTTCCTTTCCTGCTTTTCTTCTACTCCTTTCTTTCACGTTTTTTTTTTCCCACAGCACAAAGCGACTCCCAGCTGCCCAAAACACCTGCGCCACACAAACACAATCTCGCATGTGTGGTGCAATGTTAACATATCAGCCCACACTTCACCTCGTAAAAGACAACAATGAGTGATAGAAGAGAAAACAGCGCTTGCGTGTTTTGTGTGAATGTTTATGGAGACTGAGTTTACAGATATCTGGATGTAATAACAGAATGGATGCTTCAGATCCTACGTAGCTGGGAACACAAGAAAAGAACGATAGGATGAGGAGGGTAAAGAGTTTATTTTGTCTGGTTCCAATTGTGATTTTGGTTCCTTAATTATTTTGTAAAAAAAAGAACTTTTACATAAGCCCAAACACACACCTTGGGTTGATTTAGTTTAAAGGGTTAGTTCACCACAAAATGAAAATCATTCATTCATTTCCTTTGGCTTAGTCCCCAATTTATCAGGGGTTGCCACAGTGCAATGAACTGCCAACTATCCCCGCATTTGGAAGAGTTGGAATAGTATCTGTATGTGTATATACAAAGTAGATACCCTTCCAGCCGCAACTCAGCACTTGAAAACACTCATACACTCTCTCATTCACACACACACACACACACACACACACACTCTCACACACACTCACACTCACACACTAGGGCCAATTTAGTTCATCCAGTTCACTTATAGTGCTTGTTTTTGGACTGTTGCTAGCTCCATCCCCAACAGGACCAGTTGGCATTTTTGTGTGGAGTTTGCATGTTCTCATTTACATTTTACAGTTCATATTTTAATCCATTTGTTTTGTGGATTATTTTATGAAGCAACAAACTTGTAATACATTTTTGTTAGTCATTACTGAAACTTCAGGCATGGACTGACACACCCCTCTTCCGTTCCTAAACCTAATCGATAGTGTGTTCAAAAGCGCTGATTAACTCGTCCACCCACTTCTCTAAACCCGACCCTGTTTTCAAAAGCAATCCAGAAAAAATATAGACCAGCCTGATTTTTACCATGTTTTCATATTTTACCACATTATTACCCTGTCATTTACTGTGTTATTTTATTTTTTGCCTTCTGCTTTGGTCTTACCTGCAACAAAAACATTACCTTAATTTTAAAGACGAAATGCAGCCATATATACTTCTGGCTTCGTAATTCACAATCTCCAGAAATGTACTGTAGGGCTATGTTTTCATAATGAGCCTATGTTGATAGCTTTGATATGCATGCATAATTTCTTTTTATGTTCCACAAATCTTGGTGGAATAACATAGACATCCGAAAACCACTGGAGGAGCCAATCTTTATGAAAACCCTTCCTGTATTATTTTAAAAATATGGCTTTTTGCAGATTCCCACAATCTTTCCATGCACTTGTGGGGTCACTGATAGGCCAGCTTGTATTTGAGAAATGAGATAGATCTTGTACTCTCTTTCTGAAAACCCACAGTCAGAGCCAGCAGGCCTCGTAACATGGTTTTATGTCTTTGACCCGGCACTGAGACCAATGCTGAGCTTAAAACCTGCGTCTCTGATCAGAGGCCAGTTTCCTTCGAGCCCCCCAGTAAAACCGCCAACCCTGGTTATACAGTGATATACTGCCGGGATACCAAACACAGACACACATGTTCACTTAAAGCACAAAGACACAGCAGAACATCTCCATGTCATGCACACACGTTTCATCTTGACTCTCATGTGCCCTTGGTCCTAAAGTTTTAGTTCCAGCTGTCTCAGGTGCCAAACCACCCTGTTTCCTCTAATTCCTGACACATTTCGGCAAGCTACGGCTTGTAGTCATAGTCCAAATTTACAATGCAAATCTAAAATGTCGTTTAGTTATCGAATTTCCTTGATGCATCCTTTAAATGGCAGATAGATTAGCATAAGTCAATGCTGCGGTAAGCATTTTGTTTGCATTTTACAGGGACTCGGTATGCTTTGAAGCATTCTTTCCCTCCTCTCCTTAGTGCACAGCTGTATTGGTTTAGTCCACGACAACAGCATGACTAGCAGGAGAAATCAGCACGCTCAGAAATACAGATAACAGAAAAAAAATCTAAAGGAGAGAGAACTTGGACAGGCAAACAGAAACAGAAGGAGAGAAGGCAAATACAGAATCTGATATTGAACAAAGAAAACAAAGTGGAAGAGTCTAAAAGAAATATAAGCATGACTATAATGACAGATGTATTGCATGGTTCACTTCACGATGGCAAGACGGTGCCTCACAGCAAGAGGGTTGCTGGTTCGAGTCCTGGCTTGGTCAGTTGGCATTTCTATGTAGTTTGCATGCTCTCCCTTTCGGGTGCTCCGGCTTCCCCCACATTGCAAAGACATGTGCTATAAGTGAATTGAATTAACTAAATTGGCAGTATTGTATGTGTGTGAATGAGTGTGTATGGATGTTTCCCAGTACTGGATTGCAGCTGGAAGGGCATCCGCTGTGTAAAGCATATGCTGGATAAGTTGGCGGTTTATTCCACTATGGTGACCCCTGAAGAATAAAGGGAGTAAGCTAAAGGAAAATGAATGAATGAATGAATGACTTTAATATATTAAAATAAATTCAATTCATCTTTAATTCTTTAGCGCTTTTTACAATGAAGACTGTGTCGAAGGAGCTTAACCTATATGAAGAAAAGAGAGTAAAAGCCAAAATATTTTAAAATGTGGAACATTCACACAGTTAAGCCAGGCAGGAGTTTAGTGTAGAATGCTGGTGTAGTTCTGGTAATTTCAAACTGCTTCAGTTGCTTAGCTATGTTTCCATCCACCAATTTTTATGCACATTTAGATATGCGCATAAAAAAATGGTTGATGCAAACACCTAGAAGCGAAAATTTTAATAATGCGCAAAGAAACATGCACACAACTGAGTAGGATAAACTTTTTATTCGATAAGAAAAAATGTGCATAAACTACGATGGGAACACTTTTACCAAAATAATCCAGGATGCGCATTAAAAAAAGTCATGTGATTTTGTTAGAAGAGATTGTGTGATGATAAAAATGAGTGATAACAAACTAAGCAGCTGACCACATTTAGCCTATTCAAATGTTATCACTTGATTGAATGGGCGTTATTATCACTGGTGATAAGCTGATAGATATGGGCCAGTAGTAGGGGCCTTCAGTGCCTAGTAGTAGTAACATCCATTCACATGGTTAATCAGCTATAGATTACATATGGCTGTGACAGAAAGCTAACAAGAATTATTTAATTTATTTATTAAATTTCCAAATAATTGTATTTTATTAATGTCTTCCCACCTCAACCCTAAACCCAACCGTAACTAATGTAAAAACAGATCTGGAGTTGTGTCTATTATTATAGATGATTAACCATGTGGATGGATGATAACAGCCTTCTGGGCTTACTAGTAGGCACAGAAGGCCCCAACTGGCCCATATATATCAGCTGATAACCACTGATAACATCTATTCAATCGAGTGATAACATTAGAATCAAATGCCGCAATGTAAAACATCTGAGATGTTGTTTTGGTCATTCTAAAACGCCTTAACGGTTTCAGTATTAGTGTTATTATATAATTATTGATCTCCAGAATTGTCAAGAGTGTCTGCACTCGTTTCTCACACCTTCAAACATTACCATGCAACACGTTCATTGCATGTTGGCATTGTCTTCTGAGGCGCAAGTCATTTATTAAATGAAGAAAAGATTCACGCCGCTTCTCCTACCGCAGCAAATTCCATTTTTATTTTCCATATTTGGCTCAAGTTAATCAGGAAGTGTTCATTTTTTTCTCTTTTAACTCTCATCTTTGGATGGAAACATAGCAACTGTTGATGTTCAGTTCAGTTAATTTCAATGTAAAGCAAATAACACTGCTAAAGGCACTGATCCACTGAAGAACAACTCTGATGAGTAGCTTCACTAGTCAATCTGAAATAAGTTGCTATTTTTAAGAAATTAATCAAAATATAAAATAACTGACCTCAGTGCAACTAAAATCATCTAAAAGCCACAATTTAAAGCTTTATTAAAATGTAACTTTTGGCCCTTCACCATTTAAAACAAAGGGCATGTGTCTATTGGGATCCCATTGTTTTTGGATATGTTATGTGGTTCCAGCCATCTGTGTACACATGGGCGGAAGACAGCTCATCATTATCTTTTTTGTTTGTTTTTAGAACTGGTATTTGGTTTTTTGGAAGTTTGACATTTTAAATGTTCCAGTTGCTTAAATTGTTGATATTTGCGTTAAACCTGAAAAGTTATAAAAGCTTAAATGGGATAGTTCACCCAAAATTTAGTCACCTTCAGGTCAGCAACTTAAAAAAAAAAAAAAGATTTATCTTAAGTCATGATTCTTGGCTATCTAAATAATTCAAGTTAATGGCTTCTAGCATTTTAAGAGTATGATACAGTAGACAGGCAAAATAAAATGAATACATGTGATTCCTCAGTGGTTAGCACTGTCACCTAAAAGCACGAAGGTCGCTGGTTTGAGTCCCAGCTGGGCCAGTTGGCATTTCTATGTGGAGTTTGCATGTCTTAAGTTTCCTCCAGGAGATCCAGTTTCCCCACAGTCCTACAAGCACTATAAATGATTTTGATTACCTGTATTGGCCGTAGTGTATAGGTGTTTCCCAGTACTGGGTTGAAAGGCATCTGCTGTTTAAAACATGTCGTAATGCTGCCGGTGTTCTGTCCATTTGTCCTACCATGTCAGATTGTCCTACCTCCTATTCAAATAGTAGGTAGCACACTTTGATGACGCAATATACTACCTATCAGGTTTTGCTAAAAGAGTAAATTTGAATGTGGTGTAGTGTGATATAAAGCTCTTATATTGCTCTAACCTACCTAATCCCTAACTCCAACCTCAGAACCATTCAAATACAGTGTTTGTAGGATAATCTGAGGGGTAGAATAAAATGCCAGGACATAATAAGCAGCTAATTAGTTGTTTATTAAGCTAAAAGTCTTAGTTAACAGTTGATTAATAGCGTAAAACTGTACATTAAAATAAAGTGTGACTAAAAAAAAAAGGTCATCATAAGGTCATCTTGGATGACCTGAGATTAAGATAACAGCACATTTAGATTTTTGGGTCAATTATTCTTTGTAAAGTAAAGTTTGCTTGTTTTGTTAAGCACAAAAGAAGATATATTGAAGAATGCCGTAAACGTGTAACCATTGACTTTCATAATATTTGGCAATGTTTTTTTTTTTTTTTTTTAGGTGAACTATCCCTTCAAACATATAAATCAGTGATACATTTTCTTAAAATCAGTTCACTAATGTGAATTTGTTTATCCCTGTAAAATCACAAACTAAGTTGTATGATCTGCAAGCACAAAGCACTTCCTACACATGTCAGAGGTCAGAAGAAAGATGGACACCTTGCCCATAGATCAGCGCAATAGATCACACAAACACCTTGAGTTAAAAGTAGACCCTGAAACCATCAAGGCAAAGGGCATGACACTTCTGTGCCCCTCCACCCCCTTTTTTCTCTCGTTAGCATTAACATGTGGTCATCTTGTCTAATTTGTCTAATAAGACTCTAATGACCAATCAGATGTGTGTAATGTGAGGTCAACGGGAAGCAGAGCACAGAGGTTAAAGACTGATCTCTGACCTTGAGGGAGTCTTGCTGTGGGCTCCTGGTTGAATGATTTATGGGAATAAACCCGGCAAGCGACACATAAATTCACTAGCTGTGATTAAGTTTGTGTGTGTGTGTGACTTGAGGTTTTTGTTGATATGGTCTATTTCTATTAAAAAAATCTTTCAGTACGGTTACAGGGCATAAACTATAGCATGGGTCTTCAACATTTTTTTTTTTTTTTTGTCAAGGACCCATTAGGTGATGGTGCAGGGACTCCCTGATATAAAATGTATGAAACATAGCCTCTGATATTAATAGAAAACAGTCATATTACACTGGTTATATATTATATAAGACAGTTAGAACTTACGTTGTTGTTGTATATGCCTAATTGTCTGTATATTTTCATATATTTTTTAATCTTTCGAAAAGATTTAGACAAAAAACATTTAGGATGTTAAGCAACAAAAAAAATATTGTGGAATTAAAATCACAATGTATTAAGTTGTTCACAATTGTCAATTATTTACATTTTCATCCATTTTCGTTCTACAGCCAGGTGGACTATTATACAATTACATGAATTTTGGCTTCATGGATGCAATGTTTTTATTAAAGCTGTTAATGTAATAATTATATTATTTTTACATGTTAATATTTTATCTTTGATGTTTTGACCCAAGTTTATTTTTTATTTAAAAATATTTGTATTTTGATCCAAATTAATTTACATGTACTGAGATATACAAGAATCAGAAATCTAATTAGTCTGCAAGAAACTGAAAAGAAAACATGGTCACACTTCATTTTAATGTACAATTCATGCTATTAACAAAATATTAACTTAGCCTTTTAGCTCAATAAACTGCTAATTAGCTGCTTATTAGTAGTGAGGTATTAGGTTGGATTAAAATATAAAATAAGCTACTTTATATGTGCTAATAAACTCTTAATATCTTAATATTGGCAGGTAAGCCAGAAGTAAATTGTGTAAATTGTTAGTAAAACTAAAATGTTACCAAAACCATTAATGTATCATTAGTGTTAATCCATAAGCTCTGGCAAACTGTTAGTCCCACTTTCTATTACAGTGTAACTTTAATTAATATGTACTTACATTTAAATTAATAATTTGGTACAATGCACTTATTATGTAGGTACAGTACATGTTTTATATTGGTACTTATATCTTTAAAATGATCTGCACCCTAACCCTTACCTTAAACATCTGTAATTTATTTCTGCAATTACATTTAGAATTTTTTTTTTGAGCCATCCCTTACACCTTAACCCACCTTTAAACCTACCCATACCACCAAATTACCAATATTGTGTCTGTTGCAGATTAAACCAGACGAGCGTGTGCTGATAACCGATCGAGGTTTGCTGATTCGCTGGCTCCAACGTGGCGATGCGGGGTCCTACTTTTGCACGTCTCAGGAGCACAGATTCACCCGAACCCTCCTCCACGTCTCTCTCCACATTCTGGACCGCGGACAAATCAATGCACATCAACCTGCTATACGGGAATCATCTGAAAACCCTGCCGTGACTGAACCCCGCCAGCGCTATAAGGATTATTTGCGCATGTTGAGCGGCCCTGCACGATCTCTGGATGAGTACTGTGAAACCATGTGGCATAGGGAGAAGAAGCAGAAGCAGAAGGGCAAATGGAAACACGTTCAAGAGCTCCGCAAAAGCAGAAACCGACGCCACCACTAGAGGTGCTAGTGGTAGATGTGAGGTTTGAAGGGTGATCCACTGAATGTGGATTAAACAAACTGTAAACCAAATATAAAGACTTTAGAAATTAACCATCTCATTAGCATCTCATTTTTAGGAGTCCCTCTAAAGTGACCAACTGATTCTTTGTCATTTAAAAACAAACTAAACATTAAGTCATCTTAATTGATTTTAAAGATGCATCGTAATCTTTTGGTTTTGGTAATGCCCACTTGTGCAAAATATGGTACAACAAAAAAAAAATAAAAATTATATAGCTATGAATCCAAAACTATGATTAAAAACACACACACACACACCAGTTCTTTGCGCTTTAATTTTAACCAAGGATAAAATTGCATTCATGTTGAATGTATGTAAATATTTATATTTTTTGTACATGAAATTGTGCATGCTTTAGCCTTATTTACATAGAATTCTCTTTCAGTTTTAACCAAGCATTTAAATTTCACTGAGTAAAATACACTATTTTTGTATTTTGGCAATGTGTCTCTCTGTAGGCATATGGACGTTATTTAAAATGACAATGGTGTTGAAATAAACTCTTTTTATTTCTACTTGACTTAATTCTAAGTCTTCTTTTGATATACAGCAACTCTATATTTAGTCTTTTAAAAAGATATATATATTTGAGGTTAGTATTTTATGTGTACTTCTGTGTATTTTATTTATATCTATGACACTTTTGTCATTGTTTATTCAAAAAATCTAAAGCAAAAATTCTGTAGTTTCTATATTTATATTGCATTTACATTTAGTCTTTTAGCATTTTTGCGTAAATTTATATTAAATAAAAATTATGTTATAAAATATAAATTTATATATATATATATATGTATATATATATATATATATATATATATATATATATATATATATATATATATATATATATATATATATATATATATATATATATATTATTCATTCATTTTCTTTTTGACATTGTCCCTTTTTTAATACGGGGTTGCCAGAGCGGAATGAACCACAAACTTATCCAGCACATGGATGCCCTTCCAGCCGCAACCCATCTCTGGGAAACATCCATACACACCCATTCACACTCATACACTTTGGACAATTTAGCCTACCAAATTCTCCTGTACTGCATGTATTTGAACTGTGGGGGAAACCCACGCAAATGCAGGGAGAACATGCAAACAAAAGAAGTGCCAACTGACCCAGCCGTGACTTAACACAGCGACCTTCTTGCTGTGAGCCATAATTATATATATATATATATATATATATATATATATATATATATATATATATATATATATTAAAATATATTATTAATTTATTCATTCATTTTCTTTTTGGCTTAGTCCCTTAATTAATCTGGAGTCGCCAAAGGGGAATGAACCGCCCACTTATCCGAGATAAATAAAATATATGAATATAATATATTATGTATTAAAATTCATTCATTAATTTTCCTTCAGCTTAGTCCTTTATTTATCAGGGGTTGCCACAGTGAAATGAACTGCAACTATTTCAGCATATGTGTTGCCACAGCGGAATAAACCGCCAACTATTTCACCAACTATATTATGTTTTACGCAGCGGATGCCCTTTCAGCCACGACCCAGTACTAGGAAACACCCATACACTCTTATATTCACACACGCTTATACGCTACGGCCAATTTAGTTATTCCAATTCATTTATAGTCCATGTCTATGTCCATGTCCGGAGCACCAAGAGGAAACCCACACAAACACAGGGAGAACCAATACATACATTTCTGGAGATCGTGATTTATGAAGTCAGTAAGTATGGTTGAAATGCATCTTTAAAATGAATGCTACCGGCAGTATGGCTCCATTCCTTTTTGCTGACCACTTAATTCTGTATGACTATTACCAATTTGTCCAGTAGCTCGCCATGAACGTCAGTAGACTTAAGACACGGAGAGAAGTTGACAACAATGACGGTGTTTGAGTCCGGCAAAGAATGATTCCAGAAAGTGGGTAAGACTGAAACAAAAGCCAAAAAATTAAATAAACAAGTTAATAACAGGGTGTGAATGTGGTAAAACCTGAAAACGTGTAAAAATTACGTGAGGGCTTTTCTTTTTCTAGATTTCTTTTTAAAACTGTCAGTTGGGTTTAGGGAAGTGGATGGGCGGGTCAATCGGTGCTATTGAAAACACTATTGGTTGGGTTTATGGAAGGAGGAGAGTGGGTCAGTCAGTCATTTAGTCGATTTAGTGGATTTATTCGAGAATAGCAGGTGCCAATAGCATTCGTGAGAGAATTTTGAGATCTCTGGTGGAGTACCTCCTGAGACATATTTGGCACTCTCCAGAAATGTATATAGTGGTACGTTTTCAGAATGACCCCTGAGTTGGGGAGAACATGCAAACTCCACACAGAAATGCCAACTGGACTCAAATCAGCGACCTTCTTGCTTTGAGGCAACAGTGCTAACCACTGAGCTGCCTTTAATATTAAACATATTTATATTAAACATGATTATATCAACTATGAAAATGTATTATATTCAAATATAAAGGTGTAGGGTTTATACAGATTTATTTAGATTACCATTTTGAGCATAAACAATCATCGTTCCTCACTTCAAGCTCTCAAATGTCTACATCCCAAAGGACACACTAACATTTAAGGGTTAAACACTAGACTTTAATATTTGTAATGTAATATAGATGAAACAATCGTACCTCATATCTCCACCGTGGCCTCATAATCACACACACACACACACACACACTCCAGGCACAGTTATATCACATATCCCATGACTTCACATGTGAACAAGAATCACGCAGCACTGCTGTTATGATTAATCGGAGAGATTCATGGCTGGACGGCACTTCTCTGAGCTCAACCTGCCACAGATCAGATTATAGAGCCAGTGAACTCCTCACGTACTTTACAATAAAGCATGACCTCAGATAACCTCACCGCCTGAAGCTTGTGTGCTCGTGTTTTTGAAGGTCACAGCTCCTCTCCATTGGGATTTCTCATATATGCAAGCGTTTGGTCAGTAGTGCATTCGGCACCCTGCTGAGGAAGTCAAGGTCAGTGGGTCACACTCACAAACACTACTTGTTTTGCTAAAGGAATAGTTCAGGAACAGTTCAGACAAAAAATGAAAATTTGATGCTAATTTATTCACACTGAGGCCTTGCAACATGCAGGTGACCTTCTTTCTTCTGGCAAACATTGAAGAAGATCTTGAGCTGAAACTGTGGCTCTTGGTAAGTCATTAAATGCACACAGTCCACAGTTGCTATTACGAAAATTGATCCAAATGAGTATATCCAGATATAAAATAAAATAATCAGCAATCTAATTAGTCTGCAAGAAACTGAAAAGAAAACATGGTCACACTTTATTTTACTGTACAATTTACAATATTTACAAGCCATTAACTTGAACTTTTAGCTCAATAAACTACTAAATTTCTGCTTATTAATATTTAGTAATGTAGTAGGTATAAGATATGATTAGGGACACCCAGGTGAAAAAAAAATAATTAAATGCAATTAAATTACACTTAAATACCCTCAAATTTATTTTTAGTACATTGTTATTTTTTTGTGTTAAATAAAAGTTTGATGGTTTTACACTATAAATATACTAATTCAAAGTATGTTTATACTTCAGTAGGACTTTAGTACACTTGACAAAAGTATACTAAATACCAGTAATACTCAAATAAATTTTTAGTGTACTACAATAAAGTACACTACAGAAAAAACATCCAAAAGACTTTTATTAGTGTGTTTTTCAAAAGTGTGCTGTAAATGCTTTAAACATTAGTTGATTTTTAGTACACTGTTTACATACTAATCCCAAGTTTAAAATAAGTTTAATATATAAAAAAATCTATAAGTAATGTATTGTAGTAGAAGTACATTTGCCCAAAGGTTTTACTTAAGTGCACTTAATGTGAATGCAATATTATCACTAACACTTAAATGGATTTTGAGCGTGGTAATTTTAAGTTTACATTGAATGACTTTATTAAATATCTATAAGTAATGTATTGTAGTAGAAGTACATTTTCCCAAAAGTTGTACTTAAGTACACTTAATATGAATGCATTATTATCACTAACATTTAAATTGATTTTGAGTGTGGTAATTTTAAGTTTACTAAAAGTAATGTATTGTAATAGAAGTACATTTTCTCAAAATGTCTTTACATTTCATACATGTGCTGTAATGTTGCATCTTTCTTATATTTTTGTGTTCTCAGTTTTTGCTAAGTTTTTGTTCCCTCCCATAAGGTATTTTTGTGGTTTATTGCACAAAAAGATTAAAGTGTTTTGATGAAGCACAGATGCTGTTTTCTTTGCACACACAGTATCACTTCAAAATATAGTCTTTAAATTAATTTTTTAGTATGTTAAAAGCACATTTTAGATCAGCTTCATGGTGTCTCATAATAGCACAGTTGAGTACACTTAGATGTAATTTTTAGTACATTAAAGACACAATTAGTTCGGGAAAATAGAGCACTTTTAATACAGTATTTAGCACACTTTATTTTACAATTTGTATCGCTATTAATATATTACTATTATACTTTAAATTAGTCATAAATATATTCAAATGTTTAAAAGTAGGGTTCAAAAGTTTTTCTAGTTGTAACTAAATATATTTTTTAAAATACATATATAGTATGTAAAAGCACATTTTTGTTCAATTTTTAGGGTCTCAAAATAGCACAGTTGAGTACACCTAGATGGTATTAGGTTTATCTTTGCATATACTTAATACTATCTTTTAGTACATTAAGTACAAAATTAGTGTGCAAAAATAGAGCACTTTTAGTACATTACTGAGAAGTGTACTAAGTATACTTAAATAGGGTGTTTGGGGATGTTGTGGACGAAAATGTAAGAGATTGGGGGGGCTGGGGTTGCTGACCGGGGAGGTCCTGGCCAAAAATGCACTGGCCCTTACTTAATTTACTCATCAGTAAATTTGAATGTCCAGGATCAACATAAGTCAGTTTTAATCTTGATGGTCCAGGATCAACATCAGTGAATTTTACTCGTGATGGTCCAGGATCAACGTAAGTCAGTTTTACTCTTGATGGTACAGGATCAACATCAGTGGATTTTAATCTTGATGTTCATGGAGCAACATAAGTCAG